GCATTTTAAATAATCTTTATTGCCTCAGTGCCTCATTTTGGACATAAGTGAGAAGTTCTTTAACACTTCCTTTAATGTGAAATAACTGAAGAAACAGGGAGTAGGGTGACCAGCTAGAATGACAGTCCTGACTTGTGACCAGGAGGAGCAGAAGCAGTCCTGAAACTGGCAAAGCAGCGTATTTGCAGTAGTTCAGCAAGAGATCCTGGGAAAAGCCCAAGATCTTTGAACTAGTTCAGAACAGCAAATGAGGCTGACAAGCAAATCAAGGTAACGAGGGAAAGCAACTGCCTTCAGGGAAATTGAAATTTAGACTTACCTTTCTTTTCTCAGCAATTAACTTGAAATGCTTAATCTCACTTAGTTTATACTAAGTTTATATATAATTATGAGAAGCAAACCATTACTTTATTTACTTTTTTTTTTTTAATTTCACTTCTCCACCTCCCCGTAATCTTTAATTTTATGCAGATGATTTCACAGAAGTGTCTCCAAAAGGAAGAGGATCCCTAAAGCAAGTATTCAGGAGTAGAATAGAGCTGCTGGAACTAATTATTTGCATTAGGTTTGGTACCAAACCTGAACAGCTATGCTGTTGTGTATCACCAAGCTGCACAGATCTCAACTGTGGAGAGTACAGAGACACTAAGCTGACAGGTTGCCTAAGCTGATGGAAGAGCCTGAGCTATGGAAGAGGCCAGGTAACCGACATGGCTTCTGCAGCATCATCTTTAAAGGAACAGCAAAAGTGCCCTTGAGCTCTGTGAGGGAATGCAGACCCAGTTTATAACTGAGCTGAAAAACCATGATTTTGGTCATCTTATCTCATTAACTTTTCCTCCACATCACAAAAATACTTTCTTCCATTGCTAATGATGATGTTTGGTCTAAAGGAGTGTTGCATGGGGAACCTGGAGTAGTGAGTAGAATATGGATCAAAACAGATTTTCAATCACTGCAGCACCAATAAGATGAATATTCTTCTTGAACCTGAAAATGCACAGTCCATGTGTGGAATCACATAATACTTCATATTGTTGACTTGTTGGCTTGGTGGTTGGACTTCATGATCTTAAAGGTCTCTTCCAACCTAAAGGATTCTATGATTCTATATTGCTGCCTCTGGAGCTAAATTACAGACGTAGTAATCCAGAATACTTTAAAACAAAGAGCATGCTTATTCATGACTACATTTTTAAATACATAGAATATTCAGAGTTTTCCTTTTTGAAAGAAAAATGAGTGAAACAACCCCGTTCATAATGAAGAAGGATTTATCTCTAGGGTTCATCCAAAAGTGCTGCGAACTGCCCCTAAGAAGCAAGCAGCATTTATGCACAATGCAAACATCATCTCTCAGCAACCAGTATCCCAGCAGGTGCTTTGAGTTTGCCAGCACACAAGCTTCCAAACAGAGGAACAGTCAATGGCATTTGGGCAAGGATCCCCCAAATAACTGGAAGTTACAATGGTTCTGCTCAAGTCATCCACATAGCACACACTACAAAAGTAATTTTTAAAGGCATTCAGTAGCCTTTTACCCATTTTTATAGGCTTTCTAGTGAAAATTATAAAAGATAAACCAAATAAGGTATGTGGAGAAAATTCAAAAGGCATGGAAAGGTAATACTGTGAAATATTCTATTAGTAGGCCAGCTACTTTTGCAAAATCCAGAAATCTATGTCTTAATTTAAGCCTGGTTTATTGTATATGGAATCACTATTGGGATCATTTCTTGTAATATGCAATCACTGAGGGAAAAGGGCATACAGATTAGTTTGCTTTCACACACTTCTTATTACTAATGTATTTTGACTAAACTCTATGAAAGCATCATGATAATAAAAATGGAGTCATGATAATAAAAATGTTTTAAAAGCATCGTGATAATAAAAATGTTTTAAAAGGTTGCAATGCAATAGTCCACAGTTTAAGGAAAAAATGGAAAAATATCAGCAGAGAACAATTAATGGGCAAACTTAAAGTATAGGCATGGCTTTCTTACAGGATTATCACCTAGACTTAGAGCATGTGAGCCCACCTCTACTCATGGACTGAAATCAGAATAATCAGGCTATAGTAGAAGTTTAAGCACTGAAAAAACAAGTAGTTTTAATGCCTCCTGTTTTTTTTCAAACAAGAAATGTTACAGTACTTTTTTTGAGAAATATAAGTATAATGACTTGTAGGAAAGGGTAAATTGGTCATTTTCCTGTGAAATTACTGAACTCATATCATGGCCATATAACAAACGAACTAAAAGTTGAATATTTCTTCACAGCTTTCTTTTTGAACAGTTATCAAGGACTTGCAGAGACTGTGCAAGTGGTCACATCAAATCTGCAGATGCAGACTTAGAACAGAATGGAAAATTTTAGAATATAAGAATGAACTCTGCAGCCCCTAGCCATCTGTACTTAATTAAAAGTCCACTGTCACCCACAGCAGGAACAACACACCACAGGGTATTTCTGTGAAGTCTCTCCAAACCCTCAGACTCTTGGTATCATTGATGGGGCTAAATACAATACAGCCACCTCTCTTTTATGTAGAGAAACATTTTCAGCTGTTTCTCCAGCATAAAACACAGCAATATTTTTTTTTCTCCTCTCCAGAAGTTACTAACTGCTGTTTCAACAAGCTGCTCTAAAAAACTTCCAGCTAATCCCAGGATCCTGTTATTCAAAAGATAAATAGACAAGGCAACTGCTCCTTCCTTTCTGTATGTGTCTAAACTTGGAGAAAAGATAGTAATCATATTGCTAAATTGCTTAGCAACTGTAGGTAAAAACCCTAATATGTCATAATTTATATGTGAAAAGATTGCAGGGGGTTAGTAGCCACGTCTAGTGCTGTTGAGGCTTCCCACTGAGAGCTACACTGCAAACTGGCAGCTGGCTCAAAACACTGCTATTTTCAACAGTTCAAAAAATGTAAATGTGTCAGTGACTGGTCAAATAGGCTTCCATACCAGTGATTTATTGCAATCTTCCACATTAGCCTACTCCTGACTTGTATAAATCGCTCTCAGACTGAAAACAACCCCTGTGCACGGTTTTATAATGAATTCATGTGCTGAATCAGTCTTGCTAGCTTCAGAGTGATGTTGAAGGTAATTTTGAGCAGTCTCAATCGGATAAAGATAATTTCTATGAGCCAGATTTGCTCATGTGCACAAAGCTCAAGTAAATATGCCTTTCCAGGGAGCTTTAGAACGACAGAAGGGGGTAAGAAAAAACCTCCATCTCTCTGAACAGAAGAGAAGCCAGTGAAACAGATCTGCAGCTGCTACTGGGCTCCACGAAAACAAGCATGGCCAGCAGGTCAAACGAGGTGATTTTCCCTCTCTACTCCACTCTGGTGAGACCCCCACCTGTAGTACTGTGTCCAGCTCTGGAGTCTTCAACACAAGAAAGCCATGGACCTGTTGGAGCAGGTCCAGAGGAGTACTACAAGAATGATCAGAGGGCTGGAACACCTCTCCTATGAAGAAAGGCTGAGAATGTTGAGGTTGTTCAGCCTGGAGAAGAACTTCAGGGAGACCTTATTGCTGACTTTCAGTCCTATAAGAAAGGCCTATAAGAAAGATGGGGAAAATCTTTTTGGCAGGGCCTGTTGCAACAGGACTAGGGGTGGTGGCTTTAAACTAGAATAGGGCAGATTCAGAATAGATATATGGAAGAAATTTTTTGCAGTGAGGATAGTGAGACACTAGCACAGGTTGCCCAGAGAGTGGTAGAAGCCCCACCACTGGAAACATTCAAGGCCAGGTTAGGTGAGGCTCTCAGCAACCTGACCTAGTTGAAGATGTCCTTGCTCACTGCAGAGGGGCTGGACTAGATGACTTTTTTAGGTCCCTTCCAACCCAAACCATTCCATCATTCTCTAGGATTCTATTTGTGTCCATCAACAAAGAAAAATTCATGACTTTTGGGCAACTCTGGAGTTTGGCAAAGGTTTCCCTAGGTGAAGGTTTCCCTGAGGAGGGCTTTCTGCAGCTGAGGTACCAAAGGCATGAAGATCTGTGTGGCCTTTCAAAGCTTCATCATCTACATGTGGCGAAGTTAGGATGGTTGCACCCAGAAACTGAAGAATAAGAATATTATCCTAAACCAGTAAACTGTCGCCATACCTAAAACACAAAGAAGATAATCACTTGGGAAAATGCATGTGAAATTTTACCTGCAACCACTGTGACTGGTCGTTGTGGCCAGAAGTCCAAGCATTAACTTTGCCTTGCTTGTCCAGACGGGCTTTCCTGGGCTCCCAAGCGAACATGTCCATGTTGAGTGTACGGAAAACACTGGAGGCAGTGATTTGGTAGTCTTGTATATGTCCTGATTTCATCCCCAGGGGTTCAGAGCAACCTGGAACAGCAAAATAAGATCTATGACACTACCCCCTTATCTCTGTAAGTGGTTCACGTTTTCTGTTATGGAAAACTAGCAATTCTTGAAGAAAAGCCTTTAATCAAATCTATTGTTGGAGGAACTTCCAAACAAATAACAGAAAAACAGACAATTCAAGGCACTTTATTTCAAGACTACCTTGGAATAATCGAAAACAAGATAGAGAAATCAACATAATTTATCCTGGCATAAATTTATGAAGGGAAACAAACAGAAAAGATTACTTTTGTCTCTTCTTATCTTGGTTTTATGTTCTTGTCCAGCAGCTTGCTATTGTTTCCCCTATTGAGTATGATTTTCTCATGCTTTTATGTCATGTGTTTTTTCCTGATGAGGAAACATTAATTTTTCTGAAAGCCACTGCTGAAGTAAAATGTTAACAAGCATTGAGCTCTTCTATACTTTTGAATTGCTTGACATCTAGCCAAAAACGTAGAAAGCCCAAACACCCACTGAAGGGAAAACTACAGAAACACAACTCTGAAGTCAGAGCCAGAATAGTAAGAGATAATTGCTTAGGACAAAATGAGAGCTAATGGTTTCTTTGTTTAAACCAGGTGGATGTTCAATGTCACTGAGTTATTTTGATTGCACAAAAGATAGATCTTGGTCTTCTCTGTTTGGTCCATAAAAAAATGATAATTAGTAAGTGATGCTGTGCTCTTCTGCCTTGCTGTTGTACACTGGGAACAGAGGATGTGGAAGGGGGGAGAAGCAAGTTGACAACAGAGAGACACTCTTCAATAACAGCACTGTAACAACAGTGCTGGAAGCCAAGTGAGGAAGATGAGCTGTACAGTTTTAATATTTAAAAAAATACAAAAAAAAGGCAAATGAAGTAGCTGAGATTGAGGGCTGCTAAGAGGTCAGGAAAGGTGGAGTTATGGCTAGGTGGAGTTACGTGCGATGGCTGAGGAAAAGGAGAAAGATGGAGATGGGAATATAAAAGGAAGTTGTTTTTACGTTTCCTTTCTGTCTCAGCTGTCAAAATCCTGCGTGTGTTCAGTTGTCCCCAAAATTTTCACTTCAGAAGTTCAGGAATCCTGCGCAGTTCATTAGCTGACTTGGCTCAGTTAAAGTGCCAACAATATTCTAACACTGACTGAGTGAGAGTGTGCCCAGGACCTAACACACAGGTTTTGGAAGTAGTTTGCCATCACTGTGGCTGCAGAGAGCCTTGTCTGTACGGATCCTTAGGAAGGCAGAGGCTTTCCAGCTGACACTCACAGCCCACACTGCGGAGCTGTTCCTATCAGCTAATCATGTGCCGAGTCACCAGCTGTGTTTCTCAAAGCACACATGTAAGTCCTGAAGGCTTTCCTGCTGGGACCACGACCGTACTCAGCTGGTGTCTATTGACAGAGCCAGAGCACTGTGTGGCCACCTAAGACACCCTCAAAGTTTGTATTTTGTTCTTCGCTTTATTTGAACTAGGTATCAAAGCTGGTTCTCTTTTTCTTAGAAGTCTATTTCTTCCACAGAATGTTTACCTAAAGACCTGATTCTTTTTTAGTCTCTTTGGTATTATTAGTAAAGACCTTTTGGTCAGATTCTACTTTGTGTTTTTCCTGTAGGTGTAACACACAGAATTAAATGGAATTATTAACGATTCAAATCAGGAAGATAAGACCTTTGTAGGGGATCTAACAGCAGGAGCAAATGCATATTACCAGAGACAAATAATACTAATACGCTGTTTAATGCAGTAACTACTGTATTTAAAATTTGAAATACTAGCATGTTTCATATTCAGTTAAAAAATAAACAAAACCCAGCATTATTCTGGGAAAAAAAGCCCAATCTTTCAGAACTGACACTTGGTGCATAAATGGAAATTGCACATCTCTGTCTATAGAATGTACTATCTAGTTCAGAACAAAACCAAAACAATTTTCCTAGGAATAGGAGGCAGAAATTGATAGCACAAAAGAGAAAGACTTTTTTTTTTGGCTTTACAGAAGGACTTTCCTTATTATTGAATTCTGAAGTATCACTCCAGGATCACAAGGGCTGTCAGTAGGAGTTTCATCTGAGGGATCTGAAGGAGGTTCCCGACACAGACACATGAGTTGTCAAAAACTGATTTTCAGTGCTGGTCCAATCCATCAAAAATAGTTCTATCTTTTCTGAGTATTATCATTGATTTATGAAACAGCAGATGTGGCTGCCTGTGTGCCTGTGCATGCGTGCATGCACTAATAGGATTTTACACTTGCCTTCCCTCTTCACTGCCCCAAAGGGAGGAGGAATACAGTTGTGCAAGGTAACAGAAGACAGCGAGGAGAGCAATGAGAACTAGAAGAGATAAACATGATGCACATGGGGAGCAGAATAGTGTCTCGGTGCTGTGTCACAGAGAGCAACAGCAGATCCAGCTCCCATGGCACCCTGCTGCAATGATGGAAGATAATGACTATTTATTTTGATAGGCAAGCTATAACCCAGAGCACAAAGGACAGAATCATCACAATTGTAGAAAACTTTGTGTCTGTAGATAGTCATCCCTCACAGAAGTGTATTTATAATGATGTTTCTGACTCCCTGGGACATCTCTTCACTGCACTGTATCTTCTTTTTTTGCTTTGCAATGTTCCTGCAAAAGGATTCTGTCTCCCTTCCTATTTTTACAACCTGTTAAAGTCAGAGAGAGTTGATATAGACATAGCTATCACCATGTTCAGTGGAGCACCTCAGGTCAAAATGTGTGAGATGCTTTGGATATCACCATCTATGAGAAATGATTTCTGATGACTCTGTATGTTTAAACCTATCTAGGTGCAAGTTTGTGGTTACTTCTTATTCAGTCTAGCTCAATGAAACAGGAGCAGTGCAATAATGAGGATGAGTATGTATTAGCATCTGAAAATTAAAAAAAAATCCACAGCAGGGTTATTCTCTGTTGAGTCTCCTAAGGGCACAATACTTTATTCTTCAGTCTGCATCCTGTACCATGTCCCTCATCTACCTCTTCCTTCAAGAAAGCTCAAATCCTTGTAGGAAATAGTAAATATCCAATGCAGTGGAGGCAAACCCACAACCAAATCTGCATGCAGAGGTCTACAAGCATCCTGTCTTGGTCCAGGATTCATGCAGTATTGGCAAATGCAGCACAGGTCAATTATTTGAGGGCAAAGGTGATTTTGTTTTGATTAATACTGTGATATTTTTAATTTCTGAAAATGAAGAGAGTTAAATTTTTTTTTCCTATTAATGAGCACAGAATTTCTTTCCAGATTAGATAGTTCTGAAGACAAAGGAGAGGAGAGGAATATAGTACTAAATGAAGATGTTACAAAGTCCCCTTGTGTGAGCATTTGTGTGAGTGGTACCTACAGGTAGTTATGATAGAGAACTAGTGACTAGAGAACAACATGCCAAAAAAGAGGAAAATCACATGCTTAGAAGAAACTCTGCGTCTTACAACAGTGGTTCATTTCTGGGGACCAGCACCCCTCTGCAAGAATTGACAGGACACCAAGAATTTGCTGAGCTGGTAGATAGCCACCAACATGTGCCAGCATCTACAAGGTATGAATGGGCTGGGTACAAGAAGGCAGAGCCCGATATATGCAGGGGTTTCAGAGTGTGAGTGAACTGCCTGAGTAACTGATTGTGTTCTGTGAAGTTATCTGTTTTTAAAAACAACAGCTTGATGCTACTGTGACTAACAGCTTAATGAATAAAGGCATTCCAATAAACAGTAGCTGTGATCTGTTTCTACCCCCACATCAATATTCTATGAAGGGAAGGGAATTTACAATACAGAGATGTGGGAAACACAAATAAGGCAGGAACACAAGGCCATGAAAATTCATGCCTAATTTATTGATGGTCAACTCCACCAGCATTGATCATGGTTTTCAATAAGATCTGACCATGGCAACGCCTTTTTGGTAACTAAAGCTATTTATGAGCCTAGAGCAGATTATATTGAACATTTTGTTGAAATTTGTCCTAAGAAATAATTAGTTTTTATGATGATCTGGTGTTGTGAGACAGTCTCCCTCCCTTCTGTAGTGACTCTCTTCTCTAGCACTATGACTTGACAGAGAATCCAGACCTCTCAAAGTGTCTTTCTGCCTAAGAAAGACCACCTGGAATTAGACGGAATTATTCTGTTGTTAGGTATAATTATACTCTACTTTCAGTAAGACTGAAATTGCTCTGCTGAGCCTTGGCTGCCTGGAGTTCTAAGAAATTATGACCTTGAAACTGTTAGTAGACCACTGAAATGAATTTCACTTCAGTAGCTTTCACAGTTCTTTGAGCAAAACAATTCCTGGTCATTCTGGCAAGGACTTACTTTAAATTGTGGTTCCAGAAATGGAAGACATAAAAAAAAAAAATCTAATAGACTAAAGCAGCTAGACAGAATTTTCTATTTACTCTCAAACCTATCTATATTGGAAAAGGGCTACAGTGAGATTAATGCATTAACTTTTCATTTCTGAATCTGGTTTTGATGCCACTAGAGAACTGAGAATTATTTAACTCCAGCTGTTTTGATATATCATTCCTGAACTGGATGACTATTGTTTGTACTGTAAGCAGGCAGCCACATAAAAATCATTCTTAAATGGATTCAGTGGAGTGCTCCCACTGGTAAAAGGTTGATCTCTTGAAAAAGATAAAAAATTTACATGCTTTACTGAATTTGTAAGGGAACATGGTTCTTGCAGAGAGTGGCCAGAGGTCAGGCCTTACATTTATTAGCTATAACTTCTGCTACTGTGAACCTTAAGAAGGTTTAAATTGGCTCCACTTGTTCATTTACTCTTCGCTATGAGACACAATCCCTGCTTTTGCTAGAAAGCCACAAAACAAATCTAAACTGAAATCTTGACTAAAGCAGTCCAGCAAAATGTATCTTACTGCACTCTGAGTGGTCCTTGACGGCACCTGAAGCACCCTTGTCCTTCTGAGGAGGTCACAGCACATTGGTGTGGTCACCCAGCAGCCAGGAGAAATGACTCACATCAACTTTGATGGCTGCTGTGCAGCACTGCACAAACAGCTTTGGCTCTCAGAAAATGTTTTAACTGCTTAGTTTAGCCTGTGCTGAGTAACTGTGAGTCAAGAGACTCTCTGTCTCATGGTCTGCTTAGTAGGTAAAAATAAGGGTCCTGATAGCTGCTGACACCTATTAAAACTGCTACAAATGAACTTTATAGGTTGCATGTAATTGGAGGACAACGAGCACAGAAAAATTTTACAAAGTGTTATTAGGTTGCTACCTTACTACTATTACTGCCCTATTGCAAACAACAATTGTCACTTATATCATTTATGTACGTGTTGCTGCTAATATATTGTACATGAAAAGAGATAAGTACATGAAAAAGAGATAAGTAACTGTCTGGATAAACTCTACCATGCCAACTGCCTTTCACCAGGAATAAGCTCCTCGTGGTTTAGACCTTGGGCACAGAAATATGCTGCTTGATGGTTGACTTCTGAGGGGTACAAGTGCAGGAAACCCACCTGACAGTTCACAGCCAAGGAGTTCCATTCTCAACGTGCAGTGTCTCCTGCACACCTGAGGATACAGCCGTATGTACTGTGACTTAATTGGAGGGGTGAAGGAGTTAGCATACGGGGTGTTGTTGTCCACGTTCCCACGAAACACCTACGATAAAACAAGATACTCATAAAAATGTGCCACGACTATTGCTGGAGGTTCAGTTCACTTCCGTATCTCAAAAATATCTGCGTTGCTCTACTGAGTGTCCCAGCACTTTTCTCTGCAAGCTTGTCCCAAACAGAGGCTGTCTTATCATTTCCATTGCCCAACATGCAAGCTCCTAAGCAAAGCACACTGCCATTGACTCCCATCGACACGTGTTTGCCACCTGCGCTGAATCGGGGCCGCTATCTTGTCACTCTTAGAAGCTGAAACAACCAATGCAACTAAATTAGGTCTTTTCTAATTAGTGTATTAAATAGTCCCAATTCAATTTAGCTTGCAATTATTTATGCTGATTGACATTTATTTTTTCACTCTACTTCAAGAACCTGATCCAACTCCCACTGAAGTGCACTGTAACCTCCCATTGATAGCTGAGGGAGCTGAATTAAACCTACAAGCATTCTTCTATTCACTCCTCACTCTAACCAGATATGGTTGCATTTTGTTTTCTCCCCTCATTATATACATCTTCACGCAGCATTTTAATTTCCTAATGGGGAAATTATGCCTGATGCTGCAAAGTGCCTTAGTTCTATCTTTACTTACACAGTAAAGGGATTTTTGCTGCTTTGTATGCACAACTCTATAAAAAATGTGGTAACTATGGACTGCAAACACACACTTCCCACTGGATGATACTGTTTGTGTAGTACAAAGATTAGCATTGATGAATGGGTTCTACTCTTCTAAGGGTTAACACTAATCTGTTAATGTAATAAAACTAAATTCTAAACAAAGTAATGAGTAATTACTGGTAAACTAATTAAAATGAAAATCAGTTAAGTGTAATAAACAGGATTATTCTAGCCTTGGGACATACTGTTTATACAACCATCAATTAAAGTATAAGAAATTCTTAGCAGACAGAAAGTGCAAATTTATTCTTTTTTTTTTTTTTTCAGAGAAAAATAATAATAAGGCAACCTATGTCATACTGTTAGGCAGCTATGCTTAGTTACTAGAGATACCTCATTCTCCTGAAGGCAAGTAAACCATAAAATATATTCATATACAGATCAGTCTTACCATATCTTCGTTTGTGCCTTTCACTTTGTACATTGTCCAAGACTTCCCATCATTACTGTAGGCAATTTTGTAAGATTTTACATATTCTGGACTTCCAATCCTCTTGGCACCTTGAGTTATGACCCCAGTCACTCGCATCTTCTTCTGCAAGTTTATCTGAAATAATAGTATAATATTATCACTAACCACCTGAGGGACACCATCTTGATTTCTTGCATTCCTTGTGGTTTTCTTTAATGACAGAAAGGGAAAAACATAGCTGTATCATTCAAATTACTGTCTTGCATTAATTCCTTTTATCTTTCATTCATTTCATGTATGTGTGCACATAAATAAATGAAAAAACATTAAACCAAAAGGCTATAGTATAGTTACACCTTCTGGTGTATGTTTACACACATAAATATTATTGATATATAAGATATGATTGGCATATTACTGCCATATAGAATATTACCAGTATATAGACTTACTGCTATCTATTTCCTTCCTGAGACAGAAATGCAACAGTACAATGATTTACCAAAGGCTGAATCTTCTGTTATATCAGAAGCCAATTTGCAATCCCATACAGAAAAGCCTAAGTTAAATTCAGGCTGAATTTCTTTGTGAAAGTAAAAATACAGGAATGTTCTGTAAAGCCAACAGATATACCTTTCCCTGATCCTCACCGAAAATTCATATCTATATAAAGATCTTTGTTGAAATGCTAATCCCAAAACAGTCAATAGCAAAATATCAATGGCTATCAATGGATATGAACACTCTGTGTGTACTTCCTGAGTTGACCTTAGCACCCTGAAGTACAAAGTGAAGAAGTATGGAGAGTTCAACAACATTCAGACAACCTTAATTTGGCTTCTTTATCCATCTAGGATATAGCAAAGCCAACAATATTCTCACAAAATTCAGACTGGGATATTCAAATCAAACAATGCCACCAATGTCAGCCTCGTCCCTGCAATGAGCTGTCATGCTGTGAGAATGGTGTGAAGTTGCAGGCAGATGTGTGACAGAAGGAGAGGAATGGAAATACTAAGAGTAAACAACAGAGACAATGTAAATAACACATTAAACTACATTAGCACTTATGTCCTCCAAATGAATCTTATCTCTGCTCCCCAGTTATTGGAGCTGACTGTCACAAACCTTACTGTTTGGGATAGGAGCCCCAGTACTGGAATATGGGGAGTCAGAGACAGATCAGGTATCTGCTGTCCAAATATTCTAACATCTTTATTATTTACAGCGTGCTATCAACATTTTCTCTCGCTTGCTAATGTAATTTAGCTTCTATTAAGGATGTCAGTTGATCTAACTTCACTGTTTCAGCATCATACTGTGTACACAATGGGAAATGGAGAAAGACAGAATTTTACTGCTGTTTTTGTGGAAGTCTAGCTACTTCTCTAGCTATTTAACTGAAATGTTTGGCTTCTGGTGTTTATATTCTTGAGGAAAAAAATAAAATTCAGTGTAGTTTTACCATAGTTCTCCCCATAAAAAATTAATAAACACTCATACAACTTTAGAATAACAATGGGTACTTTAGAGATTGAGACCCATTGAGACAGGAGAAACTACCTATAAAATATCAGGATTTTTTACAGAATATTTTCCACATATACTAGGAAAACTCAGGAACTTTGCTGTTGTGATGAGGAGAATGGACTCAAATCAGGAATTTATACAGGTATAAATTAGAAGAGATTCAGGCCCTTTTTAAAGTCTTAGGAAAACATTTTACCCCATTCCAAGTCTCACAGGGAAAAACAAGACACATTATATTTGTAATAGGAGACTACTATTATCTCCCTAACTACATTTAAAAATTTAAAAATGTAGCTAAGATAGAACAGCAAACAGTTAGACATAAAGGTTTCTGGAACTCTTTTGTGCAGATTTCATGCTCTGTAGGGAATTTAATGAACAGGCAAATAAAACAATTTTTCATATATTTATGGAATCATTAATAATTAAGTGAACACCATCTTCAAAACAAATTAGAAAGCACAGTCAAACAGGAACTAGACACTGGTTAGTTGCCTTTTGCATATACTCACTAGTAGTACCTTCAAATTTCACTGTCAGGGAAAAGGAAGATATAAAGCAACATCAACTAAAATTTATTTGATCCAGTTATACATACAGCTATTTTTTCTCAGCTTCACTCCAAGTCATTCACATTTTCCTTTCCCAAATAATAAACTCAGGTAAATTTTCTGGATGAAAATTTATGTGGATTTTTTTTTCTCTGTTTACCCAGAAGTACCTTCAAATTTCACTGTCAGGGAAAAGGAAGATATAAAGCAACATCAACTAAAATTTATTTGATCCAGTTATACATACAGCTATTTTTTCTCAGCTTCACTCCAAGTCATTCACATTTTCCTTTCCCAAATAATAAACTCAGGTAAATTTTCTGGATGAAAATTTATGTGGATTTTTTTTTCTCTGTTTACCCAGAAAGAGATGTTGTATTCCCACTGTGGCTCCTTTCTATGCCCTAGCCTCCATCTCTAATGCACAACAAATCAACCATTGCACGTCAAGAAGCAAAACAATGACAAAAAACCTACCCAAAGGTAATCCATCAAAGAGTTTAATACTATAGTTGAAACTCAAACTTGAAAAAAAGAAAACCCCTGCTGAATGAAGGGAAGATTTGGTCAGATAATCATAAAACTAAAACAAAGACTGTTTAATTATTAAATACTCATTTACTATAGATATTTCTTGTGTTCTTTGAGTTTCAGGAGGTAAAAAGCCTGCCTTTTTTCTGCTATATAACAGCCAGCTCTCTACCTTTATCTGGATATCTATACATATAAGCAATACAATTTTATTTATTTATTTGCTTTAACAGAATCTTCCCATTCAGAGGATTTCTTGATCAGCATCTGTACTCTGAGTCACAAACTGAGCTTTGGCTTTAAGTAGTACTGAATATTGAAATAAAACCAGGATACTGTGTTTTGCAGTTTGGTTTACATGTTCTGTCAGTGTTTGCAGGAAAATCCCAATGAAGGAGGGGAAATGGCTTTCAAATCCCTGCAGCTTGCCTAGATACAGAGTCCCCACGGGGCTTACGTCATGCCTGTGGTAACTCCTTTCAGTGCATATGGGTACAGCAGGAACTAATTGGCCCTTTTGTGTCTCGGTTCTTTTATGTGTTTTAAATTTTTCAAGTCCGAGTTCAGCAAAACTCAAACTATTACAACTGTGCAATGACTATGACGAAGCAGGTGCTGGAATCTTTCTTACTTAATGTGTTTCAGTAGGAAGCAAAGTTCCCCTTGTGAAATGTGAACTATGTCTTTTAGCACTAAAAGCATTTTCAAAGTTTTTTTTTTTTTTATGGCAATTGTGAAGAAAAACAACTTAGGAAGCTCTGCTTTGTGGATTCATATTTAGGACAGAATATCATACATTCTAATCACATGGGTGATGGTGTTTTAAAACAAACAGGTGAAAGTCACCAAGATAAGAACAACAGTTTAACACATCTTTTAAAAAGAGTAATAGCTTATTAAGTTATAAAACATCGCTTATCGTTACCTAGATTAACTGGAAAAAAATCAAGGGCGATAACAGATCAATAGTATTTTGAGGGATTTAGTCCAGTAATATGGGTGTTAATGCATGGGAAAGACTGTAAGAAGATACTTGCATAGAAATTTGAGGAAAGTACTTAAAGTGGGGGGGGGAAAAAAAAAAAAAGAAAAAAAATTGATCAGTTCTACTAATTAAATTTAAGGTTATTTTGAGAATAACATATTCAGACATGACAGTCAGCCCCTGTCCACGGAGCTGCATTCAGACCCAGCAACTTCCATGGGACCTAAATTTACCCAAACTACGTCAGGGATTTGACTGTGATGTTCTCAAGCAGACCTGAGGATGCCCATGGCCTTACATCCACATGAAGTATTTTATGAAACCTGTGTAAGGTGCTGTTTAACATCTCCAGGTAACGTAATCTGCCTCAAACAGCTTCTGCATTTCAATGAGCAAGTTTTGTGGGGTTAGAATAAATGATGAACCACTCATGTGAAACTACATGTAAAAGAAATCCAGCAGCCTGACATTAATTCATTTAAATCCCATGCTACAAAGGATAGATTATGTCTACATAATATATGGTGGATTATGTAATGTTACCGTGCTGATATTGAGAAAAGCTCAGCTAGAGCTCAGGCATGGCAGTCAACTTGAGTTAATGCACAGTGCTGAGGGACAAGGTGTGATACCTCAGAGTGAGTGCTGTACACACTGTCAACATCTGGACTTGCATTGCATCACTCAGTGCCTTCTATGCTATGTCATACAGCCAAAACTAAGTAGAGAGAAAATCACATAAGGCATACTCCCTCGAGTGCAGTGTATGATCAAGAGCTGGGGAATAAAATCAACTCTATCAGTTCCCAGTGGTCCTTGAAATGCCTTTTAACCTTGTTCCTTTCAACTGCCACAATCATCCTGACTCCGTGATTAGATCACTGTTACCTTCACAGCGGGTTACAGAGTCATGGCCTCCTTCAACAGAAAGGGACAAACTAACCAGCATGTCATGTTCAGTGTTCTTCCGGCACTGTTTCTGTAAGAGTAATTATCTACTAAACATTTTTCACTGGTGTACCAATTTTTTTGACTGCAGTGAATCACACAAATCTGGTTTAGGATGCTAAATCGTTCAGTTGTCTACACTGATGTAGAACAGCCAGTCAAGATTTTACTGGAACTTGAAAAAATTTTGTACCAGAAAGGAAATAAAACAAATTAATAGGAGTATTTTCCCAAGAGAAAGTGGCAATATGAATGAGGTAATTTTATGAATTCCTACAGATTGTACAGTGTATCATTTTCAAAGGCAATTCAGAGCCAGTCCTGAAAATCTGCACAGTGTGTGTAACTTCACTTTAGGTGCAAGTAAATGTAGGGCCACAACACTGGAGAAAACTGCTTCATGGTTGTTTTCCATAAACAGATCAAAGGGCTCTACAAAACCAAGACCACAAATAACTTCCCAGAGTCCTTTAACAAACCTTAAAATTGTAGAAACTTATTAAATTCAGAGCCATGATATGTCAATGTAACAGAACAGCAGAGACTAGGGACCACACCACTGGAATAAGTTCATATTCCTCCTCACTTAG